AATAAAATTAAAGAATGTAATTAAACCTCCTCAAGAATGACAGTTCAAGTAACATCAAGACTGTAGCAAGCGAGAGGTGCTGAATACCATTGTGATTCAGGAAAACACAAGTTTGAGCAGCTTCAGCACAGTGTCTATAACCTGGAGACTGAACTACAGACAGATTTGGAGAAAATAACCTTACTGGTTTGTAATAGGAGACAGTAAAATTACTTTGGAAAGGTCTTCTGATTTGCTCAGTAAGCAGGGATAGGAGGACATAACTGTGAGTAAGACAGATATTAGGACTCGGGATGCAAGAGCTCTGAAATTGTCCAATGGGTTTGAGATTGCGTCGGCTCGTGTAAAGAGAGCAAGTTTGTAGAGTGGACATGCAAACCATGACACTGCAGCACAGAAGATTTGGAGAAGGTGGAATCGGGGAGGGAGTAACAAGAAATGCATTATAGTAGTGGTAGGAGGAGGAGGTGATACTGTAGTGAGGGGGGGGTGGACATCATTGTCTGCAGGTAAGAGCAAGAGTCCGGAAAGCTGTGTTGCCTGCCTGGTGACGGGGTTCAGGACATCTGCTCAGTGCTGGAAATGGATGTTGCAGTGGGAGGAGACAGATTTAATTGTCATGCTCCATGTAAATACCAATGAATAAGGAGAACTAGGAAAGAGGTTCTGCATAGAGAGTATGAAGAGCTAGGAACTAGATCAAATAGCAGTACCTCAAAAATTATAAACTTTAGATTATTACCTGAGCTACGTGCAAATTGGCATAGGGTACATAACATTAAAGACATTAATATGTAGATCAAAGACTGATGTGGGAGAAATGGGTTCTGGCTTATAGATCACTGGCACCAGTACCAGGGAAAGTAGGGCTATACTTTTGCAGTGGTCTGCACCTGAACTGGGCTAGGACTAGTATTCTTGTGAAGTGCAGAGTTTTAAACTAAATAGTGGGGCAAGGGATTAAATGTGGAAACATCTGCACATCAAAAAGTGGAACAGGATAAGAGAGAAATATAGTAAAATGGGAAATGAAGGTTAGAAAATGGCAACAAGCCACGGAAAGGAAAAAAAAACTGTAATATTTGGTTTGGATTGTTGGTGTATTCCAAAGATAACAAAAAGACAAAACTAGAGGCTCTGGATCTGAATGCAGGTAGTATTCACAACAAGGTAAATAAATCAATAGCACACACTCTAGTCAATAAATACAATCTGATAGCCAAAGGGACACTTGGCATTAGGAATGACAAGGTTTGGGTTGTGAATATGGAGGGTATATGGCATGTAAGAAAAATAAGCTGGGTAAAGATGGAAGAGTAGCACTGCTAATCAAGCATGGCATTTGAGTAATAGTCAGAGATGATCTTGATTCAGGAGATTAGAATGTAGAATCAGTTTGGGGGAGATAGGGAATATTAAAAGAAACAAGTCACTAATGGGAGTAGTCTACAGGCTGTCTGACATTAACTACAAACTGCGACAACGTGTACATGAAGAAAATATTGCCTGTGTTAAAGGATGGTAATAATCGGGGATGGCTTTAATCTACATATGAATTGGAAAAATCAGATTAGCAGTGGCAGCCTGGATGAGGAGTTCATTGAATCCTTTCATTCTAAGAGCAATACATTTTGGAACTGATAGACAGCTGGTTATACTAGATTTGTGTATTGTGACAGGATTTAATTAATGATGCTAAAGTTAAGGCACCTCTAGGTAGCAGCAACCACAATATGAACTTTACATCCAGTTTTAAAAAGAGAAAATTAGATCCAAGAGTAACATTTTAATTTAAATAAGTGCAAATGTTTGATCATGCAAGTTGAGCTAGTTGAAGTGAACTGGCATGCTAGTCTAGGAGTAGATCAATAGAGACATTTAACAGGATATTTCACAATGCTCAGAATAAACATATTTCTACTATAAAGGAAAAGTTCTATTCACGGTTAACTAAAGAAGTTAGGGAAAACATCAAACTTGAGACAAAAGCATGTAACTGCGCAAAGAGTGGTAGATCAGATGACTGGTCAAAATATAAAGCACAGCTTTATAAAGCACAATGACATGAAAGGTTAATTAGGAGGAAGAAACTAGAATACGAGAACACAAGCTAGAAATGTAATAATTTACAGCAAGTGTTTCTACAGGCATTTAAGAAGGAAACAAGTAAGTAAAGTCAGTGATGGTCCTCAAGAAAGTGAGAATGGGGAGTTAATTGTGAATAATCAAGAAATGGTGGATGAAATGAACAAATTGTTGTCTCCCTTCTGTCTTGGTGAACTATGTTGTGAAATTACAATCACGAGAAATGTAGCAAGCAAACTGATGAAGTGCAGGCTGACAAGTCTCTGGGTGCTTATGGACTTCCTCCTAGAATTTTAAGAGGTTGCTAATGGAGTAGTAAATGTGTTGGTGTTAATTTTCAAAAAAATGCCTCAGATATAGGAAAGATTCCTTCAAAATTGAACATTGAAATAAAACTCAATTCCAAATGGGAGGGAGACAGAAACAGGAAAATATAGGCCAATTCACATTGCATCTGTTGTGGGGAAATTATTACAATCAATCATTAAAAAGATTGTAGGTGCTTTCTTAAAAAAAAATTCAAAGTAATCGGGAAGAGTCGGCATAGTTTCATCACAAGGAAATCATGTTTAACATTTTTATTAAAAATTCATTCATGAAACGTGACAATCACTGGCTGGGTCAGCATTTATTGCCCATTCCTAATTGGCCTTGAGAGAGTAGTAGTGAGTTGCCTTCTTGCACTGCTGCAGTCCACGTGATATATTTGGACCTACAATGCTGTTAAGGAGGGAGTTCCAGAATTTTGACTCAGCAACAGTGAAGGAAGGATGGTGAGTGACTTGAAGGGGGACTTGGGGTTGCATTTTCCCATGGTCAAAAGCAGTTGGTACATCAAGATGGAAATGGTCGTGGGTTTGGAAGGTACTGTTTCAGGACCGTTGATGAATTTCTGCACTGCATCTTGGGGAGACTAGACATTGTGGATGTGATGTCAGTCCAGTGAGCTACTTTGTCCTAGATAATGTCAAGCTTTGAGTTGTTTTGGAGCTGCACTCATCCAGGCCAGTGGGGCGTATTCTATCACATTCCTGACTTGCACCCTGCAGATTATGGACAAGCTTTAGGGAGTCAGGAGGTGAATTACTCACCGCAGGATTGGTAGCCCCTGACCTGCTTGTGTAGCTATTCTATTTAAATGGGGAGTCCAGTTCAATTTCTAGTCAATGGTAGCCCCAGGTTGTTGATAGTGAGCTATTCAGAAATCGTGACACCATTGAATGTCAAGGGATAATAGTTAGATACTTTTTTGTTAGAGAAGGTCATTGCCTATCAGTTGTGTGGTGCAAATGTCAGCCCAAGCCTGGATATTGTCCAGATTTTGTTTCTTTTGAAAATGGACCACTTCAGTATCTGAGGAAGCACATGGTGTTGAACATTGTGCAATCATCGCCACTTCTGACCTTATGATGGGGGGAACGTCATTGATGAAGCAACTGAAGATAATTGGGCCTCAGACACCACCCTGAGGAACTCCTACAGAGATGTCCTAGAGCTGAGATGACTGACCTCCAACAACTGCAACCATCCTCCTATGTGCCAGGCATGACTCCAACCAGCAGGGAGTTTTCCCTCACCATCTCCGCACACCCACCATTCCCTGATTCCTATTGACTCCAGTTTTGCTAGGGCTCCTTAGTGCCTTACTTAAATCAAATGCAGCCTCGATGTCAAAGGCAGTAACAACTCATTTCATGTCTGGAATTCAGCTCCTTTTGTCAATGGTTGAACCAAGTCTGGAATGAGGTGGCTTAGTGGTCAATGAGCAAGTTATTGCTGAGCAGGTGCCGCTTGATAGCAGTGATGATGACCCCTTCCATCACTTTACTCATGTTTGAGAGTAGACTGAGGCAGTAACTGGTCAGGTTGGATTTGTCCTACTTTTGCGTACAGCACATACTTGAGCAATTTTCTACATTATCACATAAATGCCATGTTGTAGCCATATTGGAACAGCTAGTCTAGGTGCGTCACAAGTCTTCAATACTATTGCTGGGATGTTTTCAGGGCCCATAGTCTTTGCAGTATCCAGTGCTTCCAACTATATCTTGATATCACATGGAGTGATTCAAATTTGCTAAGACTAGTATCTGTGATGCTGGGGACCACGGGGGGAGGCCAAGATGGATCATCCACTTCGCACTCCTGACTAAAGATTGTTGCGAATGCTTCAGCCTTATCTTTTGCTGCCTCCACCATTGAGGATGGGGAAAATTTGTGGAGCCTCCCCCTCTCGTGAGTTTTATTATCCAACACCATTCACGATTAGCCCCATCTATCACTGGCTGCATATGCTGGTAGGCGCTCAATAGTCCTGTGTTGCAGCCTCACCAGGTTGACATCTCATTGTTTAGGTATGCCTGGGGCTGCTCCTGGCATGTCTTCCTGCACTCCAGTGTCGATCCACTGGCTCAACAATAATGGTGGTATGAGGTATTTGCCAGATTGTGTTAGGAGTACGATTCTGCTGCTGATACGTCATGGCACCACATTGACACATAGTCATGAGTTGCCACATCTGTTCGAAGTCTACCTCATTTAGCATGGTCATAGTGCCACACAGTGGTCACTCTTACTGATACTGTGATGGACAGATACACCTGCAGCTGGCAGCTTGGTGAGGATTAGGTCAAGTGCGTTTTCTGTCTAAAATAAAACAAAGAACTGCAGATGTTGGAGGTCTGATGCAAACAAAGCAGAAATTGCTGAAGAAACTCAGCAGATCTGGCAGCATATACAAGAGAAAACAGCAATAAGGTTTTGAGTCCAGTGACCCTTCAGAATGGAGCAGTTCCTTGCCACCCTCTGTGCTTCCTCTAAAGGAGGAACAATCAACTGAGGGATTGGGGAATGGATACGTAGTCATCAGCAAGTGGTTTCCTTCATGGGGGCCAGAGTTCATGTTGATGACTCCTAGGGAAACTCCCTTCCAACTGTGCCGCCGCCTCTGCTGGGCCTTCCCATCAGTGGGACCATACATATCCAGGGATGGTGATCATGGTGTCTGGACAGAGATATACCCATGGAATAATGCGTTAAAGGCAATGTCAGATTTTTGCTTAACTGTTATGTGTGACAACTCTTCCAACTTTGGCGCTCACCCCTTTATAATAATAAGTAGGATTTTGAAGGGTTGACCGAACTGTGTTTGCTGTTATCATATTCAGTGCCTAGGTTGATGCCAGATGATCTGTCTGGTTTCAGTCTTTTTTACTTCTTAGAGACTTTCTGCCAATTGCTACAACTGAGTGGATTGCTAAGTTATTTCAGAGGGCAGTTAAAACTCAGCCACGTTGTTTTGAGTTTGGAGTCACATGTAGGCCAGACTAGGCAAGGGCAGCATTTTCCTTCCCTTCATTACTGAGCCAGATGGGTTTTTCTGACAATTGACAATGATTTCATGATTATCCTTAGACTTTTAATTCCTCTATCTGTCATGATAGGAACTTGATACCACTATGCCATCACCTCATCAACCAATGTACTGGAAGTTCTTTCAAGAACTAACAAGTGCTGTAGATAAAGGGGAGCCTGTAGGCGATAAATGGATTCCCAGAAAATATCTACTAAGATGCCACATTAATGAATATTTCTGAAAATTAAAAGCTCATGGTATAGGGAGTATCATATTGGCATGAATAGAAGGTTGGCTGGCTGGCTGGCTGGCAGGAAGCATATGTATAAATGGATCGTGGTTAAAAATCTGTTTGGCAGGATGTGACAAGACAAATCCCACAGGCATCTATGCTGGGGTCTCAACTTCTGAAAATTGACATCAATGACTTGGATGAGGGGATTTAAGCGTCGTAGCTAAATCCACAGATAACACCAAGATAGGTAGGAAAGTATGAGATAACCAGGTGTAGAGCTGGCTGAACACAGCAAGCCAAGCAGCATCAGAGGAGCAGGAAAGCTGACGTTTCAGGTCTGGACCCTTCTTCAGAAATGGAAGTATGAAAGTAGGAAAGTATGTTGTGTTAAATGCATAAAGAAGTTGCAGATGGATAGAAGTAGGTTGAGTTAGTGGGCAAAAATCTGGTGGATGGGAAATGTGAAGTTGTTCACTTTGGCAGGAAGATTAGAAAAGCAGAGTCTTACTTAATTGGAGATTGAATGCAGAATCCAAAGGTGCAGAGTGAATTATATGTTCTGGTGCATGAGTCACAAAATGTTAGTATACGGGTAAAGCACATCCTCAAGAAGGATAGAAGGATACTATCCTTTATTACAAGAGGAACTGAACTTGTTTTCACATGAGGAGGGAAATAGATCTTTCCCAGATATGTGGCGTATGTTATGTGACGAGATACCTACAGGTGAATGTTAGAGTCCTGGGAAATTCTACCTTTGAATTTTTATTGCTAATTAATGAGAGTTAAATTAAATACTAAGATTGATGCGATGACACTTCTTTTGAACTTTCTTGATCCTGCTTGTGTCATGCCCTGATTACAGTTTATTATTTTTAACTAAATTGACTAATTGATCTTATTGACCCACAAGTATCTAGTATATGATGTACTAATATAAGGAAATGCCACTCTGCATCAGTTATAGACATATGCTACAAACATAGCATGTATATACATATACATAGCACAGCATAAAGAAAAAGTTAATACCTTTATTGTCACAAAGCATGAGGCAAAATCTACCATTAATGAATCTTTGGATTCAGAGTTCTAAGTCATAAAGGAATTCTTGTGGTCAAACAACCATTGAATCCACACAATTCTTACCTCCTTGTTTTGCTTGAGTGCCGACTGAAGGAATGCAGTTACTTCCTGATTACCAGAAGCCAAAGCCTGAAAGCAAAGTTAGATACATTCACACAACTTAGCTTCACTCAAGTGAAAAATGTGATTCATATCATGGAAATGTCAAAAGGTATGTTTAAATACCAGAAATGAACAATTGAGCTAACACTGTTAAAGTAGCTGCCTGGTGGTACAGACATTGGATATTGCTGAAAAGTGAGACAGGTAACCAAATACAAAAACAGAAATTGCTGGAAAAGCTCACCAGAGAAATCAGAGTTAATATTTTGGGTCCACTCTTCTGAACCAAATGTTTTTCTTAATCTTGCATTCATCAGGACAAATACAAGAATGTCCAAGTTCAAACTGCAAAACCATAACTTATGCTACAGGAGAAAGTAAAGGGTGCTAATTATTTAAAGCGTAAACCAATCAGCACCCACTTCTTCTGTGGTATAAATTATAGTGGTTGTTTCAAATTTGGCATTCTTGCATCTGTCCTGATTGGCCAAGAAGAAACCTTTGACAAAATTTCTCTTCCTTTATCAAAGTAGCACATGTACCTCATTTGGGAGGAATGCTACCTACATAATTTTTCTGAGCTTTCCTGGATTTCTCTCAAATACAATTCAAGATGTTTGCTTACAATCTCCAGGGGAGTTTGTCCGTCGTAGCTGCACTGGTCCAAGTCTAACCCTGCAAGGTGCCAAGCCTTCAATCCTTCTATGTCACTGTATGCAGCCAGGCTGTGTACAAAAAAAAACAATGTGCTATGCCTTTCTCACAGATACAGAGGCAAAAACGGCAAATGTAGAAAGTTATGTAGGGCTTATTTTGTTCAAAAGGCAATAATCAGTTTGTAAATATTCTGTAAAATTGCTAGTATCATCATCAGTTAACTGATAATCTGTTCAGCTCTACAACAGTACATTAAAGGTTTATCATAATCATTGAGTGGACAAAAGGGTAATCTCTTCTTTGAAAAGTAATCTTAATTCAATAATTTCTTGGTTAAAAGGGAATTGAACAGCCCATATTTTAAAAAAATATAGCAACAACACTTTCTGTTCACCTTTGTCTCCATTTTCAAATCAATTTATATCTAAAAGGATTAAATAATTTGGTCTGAAATCTCCCTGTCAATGTCACACTGTGAGGAGTCTGTAGTGATTCAATCCTACTTTGCGTCCATCACATATGTATGTGAGAATGGGGGAATAGCATAGTTGCATACTCTCACTTTATGTATAGTGGATTTAGCAGCAAGTTCCAATACTCTTCATAACATTTTTGTTTCAACTGTTAAAGTTGAGATGGAACGAATGCACTGTCTTGCTCTGGTTCCATTACTCTATGTATCACAACATAAATGTAGGTATCTCACCCATTCTCAATATGCTCAATTGTATGCTTTCTCTATTTCAGACTTAAAGCAAAAAAGGTGCATCAACTAGGTTTCTTTAATAAACACCATATTATTGGTTTGTTGAAGAAGAAAACGAATTCAATTAAGACGCTGCTTTTTGTCAACTATATAAATGATTTGGATGTGAGAATAAGAGATATGGTTAGTAAATTTGCAGATGACACCAAAATTTTTGGTGTAGTGGACAGTCAAGAAGGTTACCTCAGAGTTAAACGGGAGCTTGATCAGATGGGCTGAGGAGTGGCCGATGGAGTTTAATCTAGATAAATGTGAGATGCTACATTTTGGTAGGGCAAATCAGGGCAGGACTAATACTCAGCGGTAAAGTCTTGGGAAGTGTTACCAAACAAAGGGGACCTTGGAGTGCAGGTTCATACTTCCGTGAAAGTGGAGTCGCAGATAGACTAGGTAATGAAGAAGGCATTTGGTATGCTTGCCTTTATTGGTCAGTGCATTGAATACAGGATTTTGGAGGTCATGTTACAGCTGTACAGGACATTGGTTAGGCCACTTTTGGAATGCTGCGTTCAATTCTGGTCTCCTTGCTATAAGAAGGATGTTGTTAAATTTGGAAGGGTTCAGAAAAGACTTACAAGAATATTACTGGGGTTGGAGGTTTGAGCTGTAAGGAGAGGCTGAATAGGCTGGGGCTATTTTCTCTGGAGTGTGAGAGGCTGAAGGATGACCTTTAGCTGACCTTCTGGGTAACCCAAGATGAAGGACAGGAAAAAACCGTGGCAGTAAGAGCTGCTCTCTTTTTTGATGTATTTTCAGTGTTGTAGCTGATTTCCTCAAATTTTTGGAGCAGTTGGAAAAAGATCAAAACAATAACACTTTAAAAGGGGAGGAAGAGAGAGGGAGCAGATACCATATAGGAAGTGAAACTAGTGAGCACAGCATTTTCACGGAGAGGGTGGTGCATGTATGGAAATTAGCTACCGGAGGAAGTGGTGGAGGCTGGTACAATTACAAGAGGGATATGGGCCACATGTTGGTAAATGGGACGGATTAAATTAGGATATCTGGTCAGCATGGACGAGTTGGACCGAAGGGTCTGTTTCCATGCTGTACAGTTCTATGACTCTATAGAGCTTATAAAGTCATGAGGGGCATGGATAGGGTGAATAGTCAAGATCTTTTCCCCAGTGTAGGGGAGTCTAAAACTAGAGGGCATAGGTTTAAGGTGAGAGGGGAAAGATTTAAAAGGGACCTAAAGTGGAACTTTTTCACACACAGGTGGTTAGTGTATGGAATTAGCTGCCAAAGGAAGTGGTGGAGGCTGATCCAATTATAACATCAAAAAGGCGTCTGGATGGGTATTTGAGTAGGAACAGATTGGAGGAATATGGGCCAAATACTGAATATATGGTCAGCATGGACAAGTTGGACCAAAAGGTGTCTTTCCATAAAAACTGAAAGAACTGCGGATGCTGTAAATCGGGAACAAAAACAAAGTTGCTGGAAAAGCTGAGCAGGTCTGACAGCATCTGTGAAGGAGAAAACAGAGTTAATGTTTCGGATCCAGTGACCCTTCCTCGGAACTGATGGAAGATTAGAAAAGCGGTCTCTTTCCATGCTCTACATCTCCATGAGTCTGACTCTTTGTAAAATTTGTAATATTAAAATGAAAATGTTCATCGTTTTAAATAACCCAAAACACAAGCGCAGGGTAAAAAGGGAAAAAAAAAAAGATTTCTTTCCGTAGAGATTCACATTGGAGAAAGAAAGGAGAAAGTATGGAATGTACAGACTTCTGCCAGTCTCATGTTCTGGCATGTGTAGATGTACACAGGAAGATGTCTCTGGCATCATTGCAATACATCTTTTGTAGGACATACTGTGTCAAGGATTCTTCTGAATTTTCTTCCGCAGGACAACAAAAGTCCAGCTTGAACATGGACTCAACTATAACATTGGACCCACAACTAGAGGTTTTTCAGAGATAGCAGAGCTCAGTTTGGAAGCTCTTTCCTTCGTCAAACAGCTGATTAAAATCTCCAAAGCAGAAGCTGCAACCTCACAGTTGTAAACCCGTGGAGGAGGTTATCAGTATAATAGCAGAGATGATAAGACATGTGAATACCAAAAAAGGCCTTGTTTATAAAAAAGCTCCACTGTCCTTTCATTGACCTCTTTATATTAAAAAAAACTATCCATAATTTTTCTAACTCCTGTCCACAAAAATAATTAAATATGGAATGATCATAACCATAAACGAGGTATTTATTATGTTCAAGTTCTTTCTCACCCATAACATGTCCAGTGGAAGATTAATATTTTTCTTACTATAATAGTGACTCACCGCAGTGAAACTGCGGCATTAGCTGATATTGTTAACTGTTCTATCTCTTCAGTTACTGGCCTGTCTTTTTTCAAAATCACCATTAACCTGCCTCTCCTCAAACAGCAACTTTTGACTTTAGGCAATAGACTAGAAGTAGGCCATTCAGCCCATTTAAGTCTGCTCCACTAGTCAATAAGATCATGACTGATCTGATAATCCTCAACTCCATTTTCCTGTGTTTTCCCATTAAGATTAATTCCCTGACTGATTAAATAAATATCTATTTCAGCCTTGAACATACTTAAAAAGCCAACTTCAAAAGTCCTCTGTAGTAAAAAGTTCCACAGACTCCCTACCTTCAGTGAAGAAATTCCTCCCTTTCTCTGTATTAAACAAGGTCAAAAATCACACAACACCAGGCTATAGTCCAGCAGGTTTATCTGCTCCTTCCTCAGGCATAGTGTGAGAGAGAGGGTGTAAGGCACAGAATTTATAAGCAGAAAGGTAACGACCCTAAAACTAGCCGCCTCTTGTTGAATCTCTAATTAGTTAGGAAGGAGACTACTGATTAAATTGCAAAATCCAGATTCCTTTCAAGTCATTGTCCCGTGATGATAATTAAAGGTTTATCAACATATACAAGAGGTGACATTTCAGGTCAGACAATGCATTTTAGGTGTGAGGTCTATTTAGAATCTGTCTGTTTTAAACTAGGCTCAGGTTATTTTTGAGCAAAACAGAATGTATCTATAACTACACAAACATCTTGGATGAAATAATTCATGTGTGTCTGTGTCTATGTGCATGTCCATGTCTCTGTCTCTCTCTCCCTGTGAGTGTGTGCGAGTGCGTGTGCGTGTGGGAGTATATAGTGTAGCGGGATCACCTGTAGTGCATCACGGACCTAAGATCACAATTGAGGCCATCCTCATGGGTATGGAACTTGGCTATCAGCCTCTGTTGAGCTATTTTGCATTGTCGTGTATCTCCAAGAATCCTCCAAGGTGGATGCTTACCCAAAGATTGCAGACTGAATGTTCTTGACCCCTGTAGTGTTCCCCTACTGGAGGGAACACCTCTGTCCGGTGATCATTGCATAGTGTCCATTCATCCATTGTTGCAGCATCTGCTTGGTCTCGCCAATATCCCATGCCTCGGAGCATCCTTGCCTGCATCATAAGAGATAACATTGGCCGAGTCACGTGAGTATTTGGTGTCTTTGTGGTAGGTGGTATTCCCACGTGTGACGGTAGTATCCATGTCAATGATCTGACATGTCTTATAGAACAACGCTTTATTCTGTGATTATGCCCTCTGGTCCCAGATTCTCCCACAAAGGGAAACAACCTTACTACATCTTCCCTTTCAAGTCTGCTAAGAATCTTGTATATATCGATAAGTTCATCTTTCATTCTTCTAAATTCTAGTAAGTACAAGCCCAACCTACTTAACTTCTCCTCAGAGACAATCCCTCCATACCCAGTAACATGAACCTTCTCTGGATTGCGTTCAATGCCAGACTACCTTTCTTTAAATTAGGGAGCAAACATTGTCCACAGAATGCCAGCTGTGATCTGACTAGTGCCTTGTATCATTTTAGCAACACCTTTTCCTCTTGAAGTTAAGGCCAACATTCCATTCACCTTCCCTATTCTCCACTGCACCTGAACACTAGCTTTTAGTGACTCACTGACAAGCTCCCAAATCCCTCTTTTTTTTTTATATAGCTTTCTGCAGTCTTTCACCATTTAAATAATATTTAGCTTTTCTATTCTTCCTGTCAACCTACATAACCTCACATTTTCCACATCACATTGCATCTGAAAATGTTTTTGCTCACCCACTTAACCTGTCTATCCCTCTGCAGACTTTTTGTGTCATCTGCCCCAGATCTTGTAAACTATTACACAATCTCCAGCCTTCCTTTCTTGATTGTGTTATGGCCTCCACAAATTGAACTCAATGCTTGAATTTCTCTGATCACGCTTCTGCCCTGCCACAGTACCATCATATATCACTTTGACAAAAATAAACTATGCCTTGACCTGTCAACAGCTTTTAACATGGTTTACCATACCATCCTCCTTCTAAATCCTCCACTATCTTCTGGCTAGGTGGGACTGAAATTATCTCATTCATTATCTAACTAATTGTAGCTAGAGTAATTTCAATATCTTCCATTCCTCCTCCTGTAGCGTTCTCTACGGTGCCTTCCAAGTATCTACCTTTGGACACAATCATCGCTCATCTACATGCTGTGCTTTCTGATATCATCTGTAAAACAGCATTAGTTATTACATGGACACTTGTGAAATCCAAGTAACTTCACCTACTAAAGTATCAAAATGCCTGAAATCCAGCTTCAGACGTTTTAATTCGATCATGGGATGTAGATGTTAGTGGCTAGCCCAGTATTATTGCACATCATCAATTGCCCTGCAGAAAGCAGTGGCAATGTGTTCTTTTTGAACAGCTGTCAATCTTGGAATGTAGATGCCCACAATGCTTTCAGGAAGGAATTTACAGGACATGGCATCAGTGAAGAAATGATGATATTGTCCCAAGTCAGGATTGTGTGCAACCTGGATGGGGAATTACAAATGGTGATGCTCCTCTGCATCCGCTCTCTTGGTCCTTCTAGATCCTACTTGACCAACAGGTGGCCTTAATGTGATCCATCGAGGAGTCCAATCAGGCCCATGATCTGTGTCCCAAATACAGGTAAATACATGTGGAAAATTCTGCTAGGGGATGCTATCCAGTAAGAGGCCCTTTAGCTACTGATAAACTGTACGAAGGTCCTTTATTCAGCCTGAGGCCTGGACACTGGGAGCAGCGGTTGAGTCTGCAGGCCCAGGAAATGCAAAGGATAGGATGTTTGCTGAGTGGGCTGCGATACAAGGCTCTGAGTTGGCAAGTGAAGATGACGTTCTGTACTTTATGTACAGGTGGTAGTCCCCAAAGGACTATAGTCAAGAGGGCAGAGCAGGCCTTCCAAGACTGAGCAATGTGTGTGTGAGTGAAGGTGTCTTGAGGTTGGGAGGAAGACAAAAGTATACGTTAGAGAGTGTGTGAGGGTGGAAAAACTGCATGTGGGAGGGAGTCACCCCTTTGCACGTTATATTTCTGGTGAATTTTGCAGGATTTCTACAGCCCAGGCATCAATTCGTGGCAGATGAGTTTGAGAGGAGCCTGGCTGAGATGGAGTGGATGGTGGAGGAGGTGAAAAAAGCAACATCCATGAGAGAAGCTAAAGCTGCTCCTGAATCATCAAAGGCTTTGGTCTTTGCAGAGAGAAATGGACCTTTAGAGCAAACCCAGACAGGGCCTGCCCATGTGCATTCCTTGATGTTATGGAGGAAGAAAGCAGTATTCCTGGTCAGATATTCTACTTGCCAATGAGTAGGAATTTGGAAAGATTTGGGACAGGACCACAAATATGTGATTGAGGATGCACAGCTGTTCATGGCATCCAGGGGTCTCCATATAAGCAAACAGATGGGTTTTGTGATGAAATATGAGTGTGAAAACTCATCAAGAAATACTGGGTAAAGCTACAGAATTTTAAAGAACCCCACAGCAGATCTTCGAGGTACCGACAAAGGTCTTTGGAAACAGCAATAGCCAGATCTAATTACAGCAATGGTTTTGTGCATAAAAACAAGCTGAAGTGATCTGGTTGCCCTGTCCGTGGAGCTGGTGAAGTTGTTTGACATGATCATTCTCCTGGATCCCCTCCTTCCGCTCGACCAGAGACAAGATACTGAAGGCCTTCCCAGCAGAAACAGTGAAGGATAGGAACATCTAAATAAAGTTAAAGAGGCTTATTGGAGGCTTCAGTTATCTTTCTTTGAGAAGCAGCTCACATCATTCAGATCATGAGGAAAGATTGGACTCCTAAGACCAGGAAAGAGGAAACCTTGTTGATGTGACTGTTAATGCAGACAAGAATATACACCTCGGGCTGAAGAGACAAGTGGAACTGAATGCTTTATAGCAAGCATAGATCTAGTCCTTGCTGTCCTATTTCCTTGGTAAGCCTCACGGCCAGTCTACCAAGGGATGTTCCAAAGAGGTGTTGGAATTTTGACAGGACCAGGCACTTCAAATGAGACCGCCTTCAACAACCACTGCCATCACTACTATCGGGCACAGAGACCCCATCGAGAGCAATGGCCTTCCTTTCTCACCAGGTGTTAAACGGAGCCAGGAGGAAGGACAAGCTCCTTCAAGAAGAGGCTTAAGTCTAATGTAGAGCAATAAATTTCCCTAGAGTAAGCATAAAATTAAGCAAGGTAAGAGTATCATGCCTAATTCACACAGGAGCAGAGGTGTCAACTGTTACTCATCAGTTTTTCCAAGAGTATCTGGCTGAGAAGTGTGAGCTGATTGATGTTTGTTCCTTCAATTTGGTTTCTGCTTCACAGGGGTTGAATATCCCCTATCACGGCTCCGTTGAGCTCTCCTTATCAGTCCTCAATTACACTTTTCATTGCTTGGGGTTTCTGGTAGTTCATGACTTGATTGATATTCCAGGGGAGGGAAGGAAGTTGAGAATACCCATGGTGATAGGGTCAAACATATCAAGAGGTAACTGGGCATCCCTGGAAAACACATATGGTGATAGCTATGAGCAGCGTATTATGAGCTCAGCAGGTGATGTCTTTCAACTTGGTCTCTGCACTCAATGTGCACCAAATTGTACGGGCCTCTGGAACTGTTCAAGTAGCAGGGAATGTGGCTGTTCTTTTCTCCACCCGTACCATCACTGTTCTTAAAGGTTTGTGCCACCTATCTCCAATTTGTCAATATCAGACCTTGTTGGAACACTATGTTCCATATGTAGCAGAGCTCCCACTTAGTGTAATCGCTATGGGAGAAAAGATTAGGGTACCTTGCAAATTGCCAAGTTCAGCAACAAAAATGTTTACCTCCAACCAAGAAAGGCCATAGGTCTCTTTAAACCTCCTACTGTTGTGAATTTCGGACTGATTAGAGGAGCCATCTCTAACCTCATTTCAAAGGTGAAGATTGGTGAGTCGGAGAAGACCTAGAGGAAGCAACTTCTTTCTCCTCTTGCTAAGTATGAGATGATTTTCAGTAAAGGTGATGACATTGAGTATAGTGACCTGGTAAGCCACAGGAGTGTGAATGAAGATGATCATCCAGTACTGCTGGATGCCACCCATCAATGGGAGGAAGTCCTAGAAGTCACTGAACGTTATCATGGTTATATTTTGAGATTTGTGCAAAGTACTATGCCATTTTGAAGTATTTTTCTTAACTGTGTATGTTTTATGATGTACAATATTATGAAAGTCAAGCCCACAGCACCTATCTATCTTTTACCTATCGTAGTACAATATTTGGAAGCTCAATTTTGACATTCTACCATTCTATTCGCAGACCACCTGCAGGCCTGGAAATGATAAAACATCCTTAGTTCCATTGTTGAAAGCACCAGAAAAGCAGATAATTACTGAAACAAAAGTCAATAAAAAAGTATTCATAGTACAATTCAATAGTTGAATTAAAAAAAAGCCACAGTTCAGTAATTTAATATTAAAAAAAATCTTAGTCCTAAAGTACCTGCAGAAATCTTTGGAGTAAGGTATCATCCAAAGGTCATCAAGTGTGTATACCTCCTCCCTACTCTTTCTGAGGAACAAAGATGGAAAACTGAGGATCTGTGCTGATTACAGGGCATTCAATGCAAAGACTCATAAGGATGCTGACCCGCTACCTTGGAATGAGTGTTTTTGTAGTTTAATTCGTTCCATGGTTACAACAGCTTCCCCCTCCCTGAACAAGGCATTAAAAAGATGGCATTCTGAACAGGCACCAGGAAACCTTACAAATACATAAGAATGCCTTTTGGGCTCAATAATGCCCCTGCCACCTGCATACATTAGGTGGGTAAAGTTTTAGGAAATATTAATTTCCAATCCATTTTGGTGTATCTGGATGACATATTAATCTTCAGCTTGACAATCAAGAAGACCTTTGCAAGATGAGACGTTGTCTTAGCCCACTTGTTGCCGTTTAACTTGAAAGTCAAACCAGGGAAGTGCCAACTTTTCTGGATAAACACACGGTACCTGGGCAACCTTATTACCAAGGAAGACCTTACTCCTGATGATGGGAAAATTGGAGTAGCGGTAACGTCCTG